CCTTTATTGCCCTCTCCTCCCCCAGAGGCGAGCCACAGGCTAAGTGTTTTATGGAGGGAAGTGTGATTGCATGGGAAGGGGCTGTTAACTACAGGAAAGAGGCGGACCCTGGAGGTCGCAGGACTCCCTGAGGGGGAGGAGGTTTCCCAGGGTCTATGCTCTGTTTGTCTGCTTAAAGGCCACTCTGCTGCTTGCCATAGAGATGGGGAAGGAGTCCAAGGTGCTGAGAGGTGGCACCTCTTTTCCAAGCAGAGCCTACACTGCTCTCCTCACCTCTAGAGGCCAGCCCTCTGCTCAGCCTTCTGGCCTCTGTCAGACCTGATCCAGGAGAGGACCAGCACCTCCTGTCTCAGACACTTCCCCTTGGGCAGCATCCACAGCCTCTCTGGGCCCTATCAGAGCTTCCTCCAAAGCTGCAGGCTCTAAGCATTAGGCAAGCCTCTCCCAACCACTTAGACAAAAGCATTTGCTAGCATGGGGAGGCACTCACATGCTCTCTGTCCCAAGCTCACCAACATTCAAGTATTTTCCCAAAGAAAAGGAAAGATTCTTTGCTAGGATTCAGCAGTCTGTGAGCTCAGATATGCCTGGAACAAGCTCTGCTTTCTGAGCTGCCCGAGGCTGAGCTCTCCCAGGGGCTCTAGCCTCCAAAACAATAAGCTAAAGGTGTGGACTTCTTTCTCTCCCTTTTTATTTCTATTGGCCCACAATTTGCTGAGCAGTGGTGGGGAAGGGGCCCCCGGAATCTGCATCTGTGATAAAGGTGAAACTGTTACTTCTCTGTGATCTGTTTGGAATATCAAACAGGTTTAGTTTATAGCTGCTTTTACATTATTCGGTGATCTCCAGCTTTACATATTGCTTCTGCTAACTCTTCTTCATGATAGTTCCTATTCCCACGGTGGGTAGCCTTTAAAGATGGCTTCCCCTGCCCTGGGGAGTTCTTCGTGTCCTGGGTTACTGTAGGCCGTCTCCACAGACAGGTTTGCTGTTATTGGGGGTGTCCGAGTGGGTTACTATCTCGGTGAGTTGCTATGTAAATTCTCGGCTTAGGGTTCCTATGACACACTCCTGCTATGAATTCAGACTCTGGATCAGGCTGGGGTCCGGGCTCTGTGTCTCTTTTGCTCTCTGGGCCGGTGGCATGAGCACATGTACTTCTCTTCTCTGGACAAGGCTGACTCTGGCTTGATGCAAGACAGCACTGGCTCTAGCTTCCTGCCTCTCTGGAGTCAGGCTGCATCTTGGGTCTGGTGTTTCTCACATCTTGCTGGGGCCCTGACTATGGCTTTGTTTCTAGCATGAGAAAGGGAGGTTTGGGCTGCAGTAACAACTTCTGCAGTTCTGTTTTGCCCAGCTACTTGAGCTGCACTTAGCCTGCCTTGTATCTGACACCAACTTCTGCCCCCACTACAGCTCCTCATGAAAAGAAGGTGCCCTCGCAACACTGGCCAGTGCCCACTAGAGGCCAGCGATGCCCGCTGTGTGCCCTGCTCCAGGACAGGTGTGTTCTAGGCTTCTAAAGAAAGCGTGGGCTGCAAAATCCCTGACTTCCTTCAGTCCTGTCTTGACCCATCTGGCCTCTGGCTAGGGGCCTGCCCGCTCCTTACACTGGCCTTCCCCAAGCCAAAGAACTCTCTAGAGACCTCGGAGCATCTTCAGTGACTTTGGAGATCCTGCAGCTCACTCTCACTTTCTCCACCCAGATCAGCAATCCCCCTGGGGTCTCTGCAGGTTCCCCTATTGCTCCAACCTGGCCAGGCCCAGGGAGGTAGGGGGCAAGTTGCAGGAGCCGTGGGAGGAGAGGCTGCTGCTTCTACCTTTGATGGGCAATTTAAGAATGAAAACTCCAGCACACAATTTTAGCCAGAGTTCACACTGCCCAGGCTGTGATCAGGGCCCTGGAGCTGCTGAGGGGTTGGTGTGGTCCCCTGGAGAGGTAAGGTGTGATGAGAGGCAGCTGCAGAAGCCAACCTAGGGACACCTGGGGCCAGAGTGCCCCGGCCGTTCTCCGTCTGCCAGGTCCCTTTCTCCTTATCACTGAAGGAGGGACTCGGCTTAGTTCCAGACCAGCAGCCTAGAGCAGTGGGCTGGAGAGAAGAGATGCCATCCAGCCGGAGCAGCCCAGCGGCGGAAGGGAGAGCGGGTGATAAATTTAAATAACCAGCTTGACTTGGCAGCTTGCTGAGTTGTGATGCAGTGAAATTAAAATCTCGGCAGAACCTGCAAACACCACCAAGAAAAATCGGTGTCTCGCTTTGGTTCCACACTAGAAGGGGGCGTGGAGAGCTCGGGGGCTGAGCGGCAGCCTCTGGCAGCACCTTGAGTGCAACGTGATCAGCTGCATCCTGGCCCACAGGGCCCCACTCCCCTCTCTACACAGTGGTCTCTCAGTCTTGACCTTGTGGAACGGCTGCATCAAGTGGCTGGTGAAGTTTGAAATCGGCCTCCAGAGCCAGGAGGTGGCAGGAATATCAATAAGGCCTGATTGTGCAGGTGGGGTGAGGGCCATCCCAGCAGCTTCCCGAGGACCCACCTGAAACTGTTGTGGCCTCCACTGCGCATCCTTAGGGAGGAGGATGGACTGGATGCAGGCCACCCAGGGGTGAAAAGAGCTTTGGGAATGTGTGGCCACCTGAGCCACGATGCTGCCCAGGGTGACCTTGCCATCCTGTCAGTCTCACTCCCACCTGCCCACAGTCACCTACCTACCAGGAAAGACCTCCCTTTCCTTTCTCTGCCAAAGCTCTTGATATTCTCCAATGAAGTGAGCTGCTAAAGCACATTGGGGGATTTCTACAAACATAACCAAAGTCTCTCCAGCCTGAAACCCAGTTCTCACAGACACCAACGCTGTTCTAGAAGAACTTGCCCAAAGCCCACCCTGTCTGGCTGGCCTTGCGGTCTTGGTGCCACAGAGTCCCACTCAAGGCTGCAGGCTAGAGTCCTCTCTCAGTGGCCTACGGAGACTCCACGCAGCATCCGAGTCTCACCTTGACAGTACTGCCAGCAAATTTGGTTTGTCCCCATAATAAACATGTCATGAATCATTCATCTTTAATAGATTATGCAAATTAGGAGGACATAAAATCAACAAAGATCAATAGCTGCAGCAGTTTAATTGCCAGAAAAACATTTTAAGAGTGAGCATAATCTGCAGCCTTTCCTTGGGTAATGGCACTATTAATCCAGACATTAGTTCTTGGCCTAACTGAGGGAAAACTGTTCCTTACCCCTGTGCCACCCCTCCCCCACGCTTCCCCACACTCCTCTCTTTTTGGTAATTTCCAGTTTCTGAGCGAGTTTCCCCGTCATTACCACTGGTGAACAGCTCCGAATGTTAATGGTTCTGCTTTTGTTACTCCTCGCTTGATTGAAATGTCGCATACAGATTGAGATGTTAGTGCTAACTTGCCACCTGGGAATGTCAAGCTGGGTCTGAAATGAACTTTTCTCACACTTGGATCCAGATGGATCAGCCGGAGATGTTCCCAGGCTGAGCTGGGACCGTTCCAGGGCCATGGGGGGGAGGTGGGTGGGGGTTGCCCAAGGTGGAGGCACTTTTCACAGCAGCCCTCACATGCACTGTGGCAGACGCCCTCACCCAGGGGTTCATATCACTACTCCCAGGATGTCCTTGTCTTGTAATCATGGGCCAAGCACCAGGAGTACTGTGGACCTGGAGCTCCTGTGAGCTCTTTTACTGGGTCCCCGGGCAGGCACCTTAGGAGTGACCACTGCGCCTCTCCACAGATGAGGAGACAGGAGGCCTGGCCTGGTCCAACAGCTCCCAAGCTGCTGCAGAGGGATCCTGCCCAGGGCCAGCAGATCTAGGCTGTATCCCAGGCAGAGTCATCACTCCCCACAGCCCATAGCACTTTCGGAACTTAACTGCAGGGTTCCTGCCCAAGGCTGGGCCCTACTGTCTGCCACCACCCTCCTCGGGAGGACCTGGAGAAGCTGGCCCGGGGATCCCTTCACCCCCAGGAGGCTCACGCTTACTCCAAGGCCACTGCAGCCTGGGCCACACTCAGCCCTGTCTTGTGCAGCACCTGCCTGCTTTGCCACTGGCTGTGCTGCTGACTGCCTGGGGTCCTGTTGCCAGCTCCCCAGGCTGCCTCAGCATCCCCTCATCCCTTCTCAGTCACCCTGACTCTCCAGAAACAATGGCACATTTCCTTCAGCGTCCCTGGAATAATCAGGTGAATTTTAATAACACCTCCATGTGTGTCTCTCCTGCCTGGGTGCTTTCCTGGTCCAGAAACCCGCTGCAGTACCAGGCACCTTCTACAGTTTGCAGCCCTGCAATCTGGAGCTCTGTTCACAGAACTCACTGCATAGCGACTCCAGCTGCCCCCACAGGGCTTGACCCATGGGAGCTGCTGGGCATCAGGAGCTGCTGTGTTTGACCCCAGCCAACCTTGGGCCAACCTTGGGCCCAGAGACTTCCAGCCACAAGAGAAGGCTGAAGCCACTCTGACTGCAGAGAGCTGGGTGGCAGGCCCTCAAGTACAAAGTCACAGTCCTCTGTGCTGCCAAAAGTGACAGGAAAGGGGCTCCCCAGGAAAGAGCCTTGGGGATGCGGGCTCTGGAGGTTATACACGTGCCTACTGACCTACTTGCCCTCTGCATTCTTTGGCCTATGTTGTAACTAATGGCTCAGAAGTCTTGGGCACCTTGGGGGAGGTAAGTGAAAAGGCAGAGGCCAAGCAGGAGGACAGGCAGCCAGAAGCAGCTTCCTAGGGTCCATCTTTCCAGGCTGACACCCAAGTCCCCTGCCCAGTATTTTCTTCCCATGTCTGCACACATCTGTTCAGAAAGTACCCTGGTTTTTAGAGGCACACTCTCAATCTCTCTCTCTCTCTCTCTCTCTCCCTCTCTCTCTCTCTCTGCAGATATCATGGCAGGCAGGGCACCCACTTGTCACAGTGGGCCCCAGATGGCACAGCTGAGGTGCCCTAACAGACAGCAGTGATCCCACCCTCCTGGAAGCCCCTTACCAGTCACGACGGGGTACGTCTGTGTGCCTGACACGTTGCTGCCCAGCTCAGGATTTGTGGATGCAGACAGACCCGACTTGACTTCATCGAGCCCAGGGGTCAGTGTTGGGAGGGAGTACTCGTTCCCCTGTGAGGCCAGAGAAAAGAGACAGCCCTCTATTGATGTGTGCACAGAGAAAGGGCTTGGTGTGCAGATGGAGAGGAGGAACAGGGCTCCCCCAGATGGGGCAGAAGGGGGAGATTGGGAGGGAAAGCTGCACAGAGATGGGGCAGACCTGACACGGTGAGGCAGGGGTGCCGTTTACACAGGGTGGCCGTTTTCCCAGGCCTTTCATTGGTAGCACCTCCTGCCTAAGCAGCTCCAGGGGAGCCTAGCACTGGATGCCTTTTGGTGACAGGTGCTGGATGTGCAGGTGTCCCTGGGACAGGAGCTTGGGAAGATGGACCACCTCAGGAGGGCAGAGGCAGTAGCGGGGGAAGGGGCTGAGAGGCCTCCAGCCTGGCATGGCTGGGTTGGCTGATAGGGTGTGGGTGCCCCTTCTTAAAAAACAAACAAAGACAGCCCCACGGGCCCCTTGCTCTCTGCCTGTGCACTGGGGTATGAAATTGGGGAGGGGGAGAGTCCACATGCCCAACAGAAGGGTGGGAGGGGGCCAGTCATTGACTCTGAAAGGGTGTCCTGCCCGGAACACTCGGGTAATTGCCTTTTTATTGCAGCTACTGCCAAGCCAGACCCCGGAGCTGGGCCGGCCAGGAGCCGCACAAAGCAGGAAAAGTTGCTCTGATTAATATTACCTTAAATTAAAACTGATTTTCTGCTCTTTCGGGTCTGTTTTTTTCCCTTCCGCTTCCTGGCCCCCCCAGAGGACCCCTCCCCTCCCTGGCTGGATGGGATTGCCTCGTCATTTCCAATTCCTTCTCGTATTGATCTTCCTGTAGAAATCAGTTTTGTAATTAGCTGCAAATTAGGCCTTCTACTGGGGGTGAAGCTGCCCCCTGATTTATCACCAGAGTAATTCGCTGTGATCGGAGAGAAATTAAAATGAACTCAATTAGGCTTCGGATTTGCTTTATGGGCCCTGCTCCGAGTTTCAGGGGGAAAAATGACTGTGCTGGTGTTTAATAGTCTAATGAAAGTAAATAAAGGTTATTCATTGTAATACAGCCGGGGACTCGGGAGGGTGCATGGAGCCGCCCGCCTCGGCCAGCTCCTCCTTTGTTGGTTTATGGCTCAGGGCACCTTAAAAAGACTTTTGATTTTTGTTTTATGAAGACAAACAGCTTATAGGATAAAAGGACGGGCGGGGAGCAAGGCCAGTGGCTGGGAGATGCTGGAGTCTCAGAGTGGCACTGAGTGGCTTGGAGCCCCAGGGGCCTTGCTGGGGTTCGTGTGCAAGTGCTGTGGGCTGCGGCCTGACCGAGACCCCAAGCCCTCGAGGGATGGTGGTGTGCTTAGGGGAGGCACGTGGGGGACGCCCTCTGGGTGAGTGGGAGCAGGTCCTGGAAGTGCACGCATCCTGGCCTGGCCTGGCCTCCCTGGGGAACACCCACCCTGCCAGATGCAAGGGGTGGGGGCGGAAAAGGCTATGGGTGCTGGGGTGGAGCCGTTGGAAGGAGAGGAGCTGGAGACGGTCCTGCTCCAGGGCTGTGGGAGGCCTGGGTGTTGGGAGGCGCTACTAGCCTGCATAGGGGCATACGCACCACTGGGTGGAGGAGCAGGAGGTGGCATGGGCAGCCTGTGATGAGGCTGAGTGGGGGATGCCGCAGACTCGCACAGACTTTCTACAGGACCAGCGAATAGAGAAGGGACGTGGCATGAGGACACTAGGTTGCAGAGTAATGGTGAGAAGGGACCTGATAGAGCCTTTGTTCACAGCCTTCATTCTACGGATAAGAACCAGGTTCTGCGCGCTCTCTTCAGCACAATTTCTTTGAAATAAAACTCCAAGAACCTGCTGTTCAGGTAAACTTTTGGCACTTAGCTCATTGTAGATTGGAGTTCTAGTTGGCTATGTTGCTTTGGTGTTTAAATTTGAATTTCCTTAATATATACAAGGATGGATTTGGGTTATATTGGAATAGACATTGATTTTATCTATTTACCAATAAACTCATCTCTTCAAAAAAAAGAATGAATGAAAGAAAGAAAATAAAAAGAAAGAAAGGCTGTGGAAGGCTTGCCCCAGAACTCACTGCTAACTCCCGTTATCATGGTGCTTTCTTCTCACTGTAGGCCAGTGGCCCTCAGTAATCACGCGTACAGTGCCACACAACACCCGCAAGAGCCTGCGCCCTGCAGACATCCACTGAGTCTTCATGGCAGACCTCATCTCCTCCTCCCCTACTTCGGCGAGCCGGAGGCTATGCCCTCACCTGTTCGGACTTGATGTGCTCTGATGCCTGGAAGACATCAGGGTAAGACGGCCGCTCAAAGACCCGATCCAAAGCTTCTAGCTGCTGCTGGGTGAAGGTGTCAGCTCTCAAGTGCTTCCGCAAACTGTCCACACCACTCTGGGAGTCTCCGTTGGGGACTGAGCCCTCGGACACATCTGGGGAATACATGGACGCCTGGACATTAGCAGAGGAATGGGAGAATGAATGAAGTAGATGGGGACCTGGCTCTGGCCCTGCCCAAACCTCTTCCTCCAGCTGCAGGCTGCCTCAGAGAGCTGGCCAGGAAGTCAGAGCCCTGCAGGACTGAGGGAGGGAAGAAAGGAGCACAGCCGGGGTGCAGGAAGGCCTGGAAGAGGTGGAGCCAGAGGGACTCCCTGGGGCTGCCTCCTAGGGAGCTGTCTCCCAGCTGCCTGTGGCTCCAGGATAGGTGAGCACTGACCGGGAGCTGGGGTCTCAGGTGGCATTACGGAGCTTGTGGAGAAATGAACTTGGCTCTGAGATGAGTTCAGTTCCACTGAGTCCATGGGTTGAAAAATCAAGTCTCCAAGGGCTGAGTGTAACATGGGGCTGGGTGGGATGATTAGCTGTGACCTGAGGAGAGGCCTCTGAGAGCAAGACTGGGGCTCTCAGAGGCGTCACGTGGGCTGGGGATCATCCATGTGGGCACATTGTGGGGTGCCCCTCTCCTGAAGGTCTCTGGCTTGGCCTTCATCCTGAACCCGCCTCTCTGTCCCCTGATGCTGCTGCGGGTTTCCATGAGAGGCTGAGCCCTGCCCTGGGAAGGACAGGTCTGCTGGTGCCCTGCTAGTGCCCACTCCCTTGGGGCCACAGCCCATCCTGTCCCCAGGTCAGGCTCTGCCCTGCATCCTTCCATGGCATTATCCCTGTTCCCATCTCAAAGTCTCTCAGCATGAGGGCCCCTGGAGAGTAAGAGGGCAAAGAGCCCGGTGCTGCCTCTCCCTCAGCCTTACCCCGCAGCTCTTCCAGCCCCAGCCCCAGCTCATCACCTTGGCTTAGGACCAGCTGAGGGGTTGTGGGCTTGGGGCCAGCCCATGCTGTAGGCCTGGTGTTCCTCTGGGGCTGTTATATATATCAGTTTATAGGTGATTATATGATATGATATAATCAATATTGCATTATATACAGTAACACCATACGGTATCATTTGGGAGACTGTAGAAAATATTACATATTGATTAACCTCATCCTGCAGCCATCCACCCTCTTTGGGCCTCCTGGAAGGCACCCAGGGCTCTGCTTTCCTGAAGGGACCCTGTTTCTTCTCCACACTCTGCTCTACAGGGGACAGCAAGGGCTGGGACAAGCAAGTGTGCATGGGCAGGATCCAGTCTAAGAGGTGAGGGGTAGTGCGATGGTCTGGTGTTCCAGTGGACACAGAGCCTGGTTGCTGTGTTTTTCAGCATAAGGTTCTGGAATATTTTTCAGTCTTAGTGGGTGGAGGCATCCCATCATGTGAGATCCCTGGGTGGGACTGGGGTGTGGCACACTTTTTCCTTTCATGTGAGTTTTCTCTGGACTTGTGCATGCTTGCATGACAGAGTGGGCCTTTCCCTTTCTGCAAGGACCTCTGTGGCTACGCAGAAGCAGGGCCCGAGTCCCATAGCTTCCTGTGACTGCTGGTCTCTCCAGGGAGTGTGCACCTTGATTTCATAAAGCCACTCCCAGTGGTTCTCTACATGTGCTGCTGTGGAGCCCTCTCCTCCTGCAACTCCCACCTCTTAGGGAAGCCCTATTACTAGGGCCGAGGGAGGCATCCATGGTCTTTGTTTGTGGCTGCTGACTGTCACCAAGTGGGCTCTGGGAGAGAATGTCCATGTATCTCAGACCAATATTAACACATGATTTTTGTGGATGTTTGCATGTGTAAGTGTGGCAGGCTCCTGTCACACCTCTCTTCAGTATAGATTTGTGTTTATGCCTGTATATGGTTTGGTTCACCCTGTGCATGCATGTGCATGCATGTGTATGTGTATGTGCATATGTGTGTGTGTGTGTGTGTGTGTGTGTGTGTGTGTGTGTGCATGTGTGTATGTAGAGACTGAACTGAAGCTTTGTCCTCAGGTCACTGGCTGGAGGAGTCTCTTTGCCTTCATTTATTCAGAGGCCCTTCAGATCTTGACAAATCTGTCACTCTAAATTTGCGAGAGATTATGGTGCTCTCTCTCTAGCCTGCAGAGAGGTGATATATGATATCTGCTGCCCCTATTGATTGCCTGATCTGGTGGCAGAGGCCGGCGAAATGAACTTGAAATGAACATCATGCCTCAACTCATTGTGCGTATAATACACTACTTAATCCCACATTTTTCAGCCGCTATGGAATTCAATTGATCAATCATGTTCCACTGATAGTACTGTTTTAGGGGTTATTGCTGCTCCCTCCACTCACTGACCTTTTTATTTATTTATTTTTTTTGTCTTCCCTGCCCTGGTGGGGAGACAGGTTACAGAGGCACCATGGAGAGAAGGGGGAGGGCGGGAGGAAGCCTGTTACTGGAGGCAGCCTGTTACTGGCCAAGGGAGGTGGAGACTGGGGGAGAGGACAAGGAAGACAGGGTGGGTAGCAAGAAGGCCAGTGGAGCAGGACAACAAAGTGGATGGCAGGAGCAGGCATGGCCTCCAGGGTGGGAGGAGGCCCGAGGAGGGGAAGGAGGGCTATGGGTCACAGTCCTGTCTCCATAGGTGTCGAAGCAGCACAACGCGGGCTATGTGTGCTGGGTGAGGCACAGTACTACTGCAGGGGCTGGGAGCGCACTCCTTCTGGTCCCCCACTGCAGGTCTCAGGGCCATCCATACCTGTCTCTCTCCAGAGGAGGGGTCGTGAGGGAGAGGGCAGAGAGTGGGGAGGAGCGGAGGGTGGCAGAGGTCGGGGTGGGCAGTAGCCAGGAGAAGCTTCTGGAAGGAGGAAGCCAAGGAGCACGGGAAGGGCAAAGGTGGAGAGAAGAAGCCAGGCCCTGGACAGGACGAGGACACTTGGCATGGGATGGAGCCAGCTGGCAGCTCTGTCACTGATGCCTGGACATCCAGCTGTGAAGGGCAGCAGGGTTGGTTGGAGAGGGCTGAGAAGGTACAGAGGAGAACAGAGTAGCAAAGAAAGAGGGAAGAGAGCACAGAAAGAAAGCAGGTAACTGCGGACAGTGCTGGCCCCAGAGTAATGAGAGGTACTCAAGCCAGTGCTCCCAGAGGCAGAGCCCAAGGCCACAGCAAGGGAGACGAAGAGACCCCAAGAGGCCTGGCTGTCAGAGGGCTCACAGCAGAGCAGGGCTAGACTAGAGCTGGGGCGGGAGCAGGTCCCTGTGTAGCTTTCAGAGCAAGAAGGAAAGGAGGCACAGGGACAGTCATATTGCAGTACCTGTCCCAAGGAAGAGGCCCACCTGGCAGCCCTGGCCACGGGCTGCTAGGCAGTACAGTCCTTGTGGACAAGGGCCACAGCCTGATGCATTTCCTAACTTCAGTGTCCGGCATGGTACTGCAGCTGTCCAGTAAATTGCTCACTGCGAGAGTAAGACCCTCTTGGTGGAATTCACAGTCAGACCTTGGGCAGGAGTTTTGGAATCGTGTACCTGACTGGCCTGGTGCCCCAAACGCTCTGAGATGAGCTGTCTGTCTAGTTAGCCTCCAACGGTGTCCCTGCATCCCTTGGGGCTCTCCTCATCTCCAGCAACCCTGTCCTGCCAGGTTACATCAGAGCCTCAGGGCAACAGAGGTTCCCAGTGAGGAGTGGGACCCAGAGTTGGAGCCACAGAGCTGCCATTGCAAGCAGACCACAGAGGCTTCTCAGAAATGGGGCCCAGGGGGCTGGGGATTTAGCTCAGGGATAAGTGCCTGCCTTGTAAGCAGGCAGTCGTGAGTTCGATCTCTGGTACCGATAAAAAGGAAAAAGACAAAAAAAAAAAAAAAAAAAGAAATGGGGCCCAGGAGCCCGGAAGTCCTTGGCTTTCTGGAACATTCTCATTTCCAATATTCTTCCCCAAGCTCAGGTCCTGCTGTTAGGTGGAGTTCAGAAGTCCGGGTTACTGCAGGTGTAGCAAGGGTGGCCACCTACTAGAGCCAGGAAGGGCTCCATACTAATCTAATAGTTTTTATCTCTGGAGGACCCTGCTCTGTTCTCTGCCCCCTGCCCAGCTACCTGGGTGGCAGACAGGTATTAAGAGCACCTTACATGTCATTGCTATACTTCACTGACTCTGTAACCCTTCCAACAACTCTAAGGGAAGTACTGATACCCACTTAAGGATAAGGAGCCAAAGAGAGCTTGAGTAGTTTATCGAAAGCTATGCAGCTAGTAAATGAGAGCCGAACTTGGCACCCAGGTGTGCCTGACTCCAGAGATTCTGTGTTGCTTCACTCTGCAGCCCCGGGGGGTATCCCCCCGCTCGCTGCCGCACACCTTCCCACACCCTGCAGGACGACAGCATGTCTGGTAAGAGCAGGGGAAATTATCTGGCTGGGTGAGAGGAGGGCAGGCCGCCTGTGCTAGGGCTCACCAGGAAGCAGGACTCTGAGGACAAGGAGCCAGCTTACAGGCTCTCTGTCCCCTGCAGTGCAAGGGCACACGCAGAGGACAAGCTCCACAAGGCCTTTTTAGCAATGTGAAGAGGATATAAACTAATCAGTCAACAAACAAACAAGCCAACTTTGTCATCTATTCTTTCAAGGGGAGCAAAGCTCATCATCTCCTCTGCCTGCTTCATATCTGCATAGTGCCTAATACTGTCGTCATAGACCTGAGGTCTTTTGGGCTTTCTGACCACTCCCCAAAGTGAGCTGGAATTATAATGCCCCCTTTCCTGGGGAGGAGACAGGCTCAAAGCCACTAAGGTGCAGATGAGGTGGGGTGGGGAGCAGCTGGCTCCAGGGCACACCCAGAAGGGAAGGTACTTGGTGATGAGCCAATGGGCAATAGCAGTGCCCATGAGTCGCCGTTAGGGCGCTGGCCTCTCTGTAGACAGAGAGAGATGGGCTGGAAAGATGGCCACCAACTTGGCGACAGTGGTTACTTCCTGACCATAAGTGAGTTCTGTTTTCTTCTTCTCTAAATTTTTCCATACTGTCCAGGCTTTGTGTAGTGAACATGTACTACTTGAAGAGTCACTAGTAAAAATGCCTAGGGTGCTGGGGGCTTAGCTCAGTG